CTATTTGCATTCATTTCTTATTACAAATGATCAACTAGTTCATTATCACCCCTTTTACCATTAAAAAAAGGGGGAATAATCACCATAAGCACCTCTAGTGGTTAGAGCACACCCTTATTACGTAAATAAGTTCACCCCACTGATATGAGGCACCCTCCCATCAGTGTGTCATGATGTTGCTTTCCGGGTAACAGTCTGAGAGGCCCGTTATAATGTGCTTCATATCGATAGGGATGGTGTATTACTAACGGAACACTTAATTATCTCTGTACTCATTTACCAATCAAACAACCCAAATATGCTTGCAAAATACTTGGCGGCAATGGACTAGCGTGACAGGAACTAGATAATCAGCGTGTTTAATCGTTGTAGGAAGTGTATTGTCACCTTTTCCGGTAGGTTGCCTTCGAAATTAATATACCTATCATGATACATAGTCAAGTAGCAGATTCGTATTCGTGATTTTGAGAAGAAAAGGACCAGAAGGGGGATGGTGGGTAATGGAAAAAATGACCAATCTCTCATCCTGCTATAGCGTGCCGTGTATTATGGTTTATAATACTTATGAAGGTATTTCCCTGTTTCCTAACCGATCCTAAAGGTACTTCATATAGCGCATTTTCCTTGCAGTTACAAATTGCTCCAGAAAACTACTATACATCGTCTCGAAACTTAAATAATAATAAATGACAAATATATCACTTCAGAAGTAATATATAATCGGCCCATGTCCGTAAGTATATAGTTATCTACTATATAGGTTTACGAAACAAGGTCACCACAATTTGGATCGCAGAGAAAACCCCATAAAAAACCCGACGCAAGGTTTTAGCTTTTGTTCGAAATTAGGTTCTTTAGTCTGATGTCTGAGTCTGAGTCTTTTACTGAGTTAGTGGAATAGTAGCCATTTTCTGTTATTTGAACAATGGTGAACTAGTAGGGTAAATCCCCTTTAAATCACAATGGACTCAGAATCCCGGCTCAGAATTCAGTGACATCATTCACACTGCAAAGTGAAAGAGAAGAACAATCCATTCCATTTTTTTTTCTTCAAGCATAATGGCTTTGACTATTCTACCACGAAAATTTCTTTGTATTACTACTAGTGTATTTTTTTAAAATCACAGCTATGCTGATATTATTACCTGATAATGAGAGAGAGAGGGAGAGGGAGAGAGAGAGAGAGGGAGAGAGAGAAGGGGAGAAGCCCGGGCGAGAAGTGACACCAAGCTTGAATGTAAAAGCAAAAAAAAGGAGCTTGGCAATTTTTAGAATATACATCAAAATCGAAAGCTAATATATAGGATGTAGAAGATAATCACGGCACAATAACAAAGCATTAGGTATACAACGTATAAGGTATATAACATGTATAATAAGACTACTTCTACCTCCAAGTACAATCAATAATAATTCAATATTAAGTAAACTTAATTAAATCCATCAAATCAATATCCATTATCTATGATCAAATCAATTGTAACGCGGTAGCCGCTATAGAAACACTTTTTTTAGAAACGAAACTATTTCCTATCCAAGCATGATCAAATAAGCTATGTCAAATATGTTTACGTTTCACAATTATATAACACGTTTTTAAACGGATAGAAATTTTAATAATGCCTAATAGTATTACTAGGCATTTATCGACTTATGATAAATCAAAATCGGAAGTAAGTGGGAAATAAATCCTGATCCAAAAACCAGGGGGGAATATTAAAATATTTATTTATGCCAGTTGAAATACCATTGTAAGCATTTCGCTCGATTAAATACTCATAATTTGATCACGTCAATGCGGCCTGGGGCCATATGGTATACCCATGGGGACGCATTTTCAAAAACAAAATATTTGATCTCAAATAAGTACTACCGAATCACCCATGTCATATTGATACGTTTAATTCACGCTATTTATAAACTTTTGCTAACCACAGACCATTACACACGCGTACTCAACAAACCCTGACGATCGTTAACAATTATAGTTGTAAACCACCAAACGTACAATGCCATGAAATACGTACTTCAAAGTGCAGACAATATCATGACTCCTGAGTTCCAAGGTGTCATTATTATATTTTTACGAACTTAAATTTCTGGCCGGATAATAACTGTCACTACTGATGAAGCTAGGAAGGAACAATTTAAGTTAGCTTCTGTAAGGCTCTCATGAGGGCTTCCAAGACTGAAAGTGTATACACGTGAAAACACGTATAGAGTTAAAGTTTTTGTATCGCTTGGTTGGAAATCGGACAACATTATCTATCATCTTGATTATTACAGGTTATCTGCGATTACTTTCATACAATGAATGTGCACTAAAACGTGAACCACTATCTTCACATTGTATTGAAAGTGGCATGTTGGGCAATATAAGGCTGGACTCATACAGAATAATACATAATCATGTTCCCACAAAAGCGCACTTTTTGTTTATTCACCTTCTCTCTGCCATAGAACAGACGCGGTTCGAGAAGAAATTATGTGTGGGGCGAGGGTTTTCGGGGCTTTCGGGGGACAGGGGCGCTCAATTGCCCCGCCAAGCCGCCCCCTAGAACCGCTTCTACCATTTACGTTAACACGAAAACGCGAGGACAGATTATAATATAAGACGTATCTCTTCCTCAAACGAAAGGTCTTTAGACTTTACTATTTCTAATCAAACTTATCGTTACAGCTTCCTTGCTCGAAGCTTTAAATAGCTATCAAATCTTTTGTTTCCTTTGTCCTTACGTGTGTATAGCTGAGTTCTAAACTGCCATTATGTAAGCAGCTTATTATCAACATTGCCATGATTGTAATCGTGTCTGAAGGCTAACGATTATACATTCGGTATTGGAAGATAATTTACCATTGTCATGAGGGGAAAAGGGCATATGTTCTCTACTTGTTTTGTGCCTGTTTAGTCCTGGAGTAATGAGTAATGATATAAACATGAATAGGATAAGTTTTTAAAAAAATTATGTCGGCCATCTCATCATTTGTGGTAGGCTCCATGAGCTCATCATGTATATCAGGCCTGTCATGTTAAAGGGCAACCCAACTCTTGTAAAATAAGTTCATTAATTGGATGAAAGCTTGAAAAAAAAAATCGATACAGGTTCGCGGAAAAAAACATCTATTGATCAGATGTCTTTGAATATCAGTACTTTTTTTTTTTATATAGGCCTATAGTATAATAGTTATTTTAAACATAAGCGGGAGCCTTAAAAACATACTTATTGTAACCTGTATGTATAACTGAGCCTAGGGCTACCGTACATGTTCGGTACATAGACTCTCCAACCAATCAGTGAATATCAAATTAGATAAAACTATAAATAGAAAACATGCACAGTAAACTAAAACGAGAAGGTCGACCCAGGGGGTGTAAGACTAAGATTGACTTCAAGTTGGACTTAACTATGACAGGCCGTTCATGCCACTGTTTGCTACCGGGGTTTGCTCTCACCATTATGATCTTTAGATATTATATTTTCCTTCAATAATGAATTATCCAACGTGTAAATTCTGTCGATTTGTGACCATGATGTGTACGTCCTTTGAGAGACCAATGCCAGTTAATGGTAAGAGCAAACAGTGGCATGAACAGCCTGCCATAGTTAAGTCCAACTTAAAGTTGATCTAAGTCTTTGTGAAACACCCCCCAGTTCCGATATTCTCCATCATTGGTTGGGAGAGAGAAGGGTGTTAACCTTATGTAAAGTACATGTATACGAGTTATGGCTCTCCGAATATAATGAGATCTAGTGAGAATGAAACTGCATGCCTGACCTAGCACAGAATTCAAGAGCAATCTCTGAAACATTTTCACCAGGGCGTTGACCCTGGCAAGATACGAATTCAAGCAATATTATTGAGGTTGAATTCTTTGTCGATGTAGTTTAGGACAGAGCATGACCGGTCTTCAACTCTTCATCATGTATAACTTTACTATCTATTGTAAACCACACAATTAAGTAAATCCTATATCTCCATAATCCCCATTACCTATAAGTCGGAGCTTTCAATCGGGTATAGATAACTAGTGCACTTACACTCGGCGGTCCCCTGATTCGGAGTTGGGTAAAGAACTTTGTAGCTATCTAATGTATTTCAATCTCCGTCTTCTTCTTCTTCTTCTTCGTCTTAATCTGCCTCATTCACTCATGAAGATTCATGCAGATGAAAGGGGTGTGTATGTCACAAAGGACATGAACTGCTGAGACAACCACTTGCTTATTGAAACAATCAATTGAAACAATCTATGCCTGTTCCTCTCCAGAACACCCCCCCCCCCCCCCCCATTTAACCCATACTGGCATCTCTATACTTATGAATGGATTCCAATTTTGATACATATATTGTTGCTAAGTCGGAAAAGCCTCTGGCAAGCTGTTATTTGTCAAAAATTATCCACAAAATGAGTCCCCCTTGGCAAGGAGTCCCTCGATTTGACAGGCCTTAAACCCGAACGTCATGCGTTTGTTTATTTTCATGTGCAGACATGAGAGTATTGTCAATAATTGATTTATTTGGAGACAAAAGACAACACCGAACTCCAATTGTACCGCAGAATGAAGCATTATTGATTGTTTCAATAACCTTATTTTGGCGTCGCATGCAGTGTCCATGACAATGTTCTATCGCAATTGGGATCTAATATCACCATTATTTTTGTAATAAATAAGAGACAAAATGAAGAGTCTGCCACCAATCATAATTACAAAGAGAAATAAAATGACGAATAAATTACGTACTTCCTCTGAACTGTTATCATAATAGCTAGCGACGCTTACTTCAAACTTTTGTTATGCTATTAGTATTGATTTCACCTCATTATCATTGTCTTATGTCATTAAGTGGTGATGTAAAATTGCATGATCTTATTAATTTTTTTATATAATCTGGCGTGGTTGCCTCATGTAAAGAAACAAAGCAGAATTAACTAAATATAAACAACAACAACGACAAACTAGGACAATAAAATAAACGAAGTGCCGATCGGTGATTCTTACCTTAGATTGATACTTGAGAAATCACGACTGTCTTGTTTGATTTTTGAGAGGTTATAACTTATTCCAATCCAGATCTTTCACGGCGAGTCAGGATGTGATAACTCAATCAAATGTGTCGAAAGACGAAACGAAAGGGGAAATCCAGTAAATCGAGGAATTTATGAAGGCAGTTGAACAAGTTGATACGGTTGTGTTATTACGAAGAATAATTAGTGATCAACCGGCAGTAGGAGTTCAACCGTCCCGCAATATGACAGCTAACGACAATGAACGAGGAAGCAGAAGCTGTGACACGGTATCATCGCTTCGCGCTCTAATTCGCCCGCTACCAATCTGGCCCGTCCGTTCTAAACTCACATTGTGGTCGGATAATAATTAGCCTTTCCTCTTTTGAATGTGTTAATCCCTCGATCCGCTCAGTACACACCTCACTTCTGTATAAAGTGCACGATACTTTAGTACAAATCATTTGTCCACCTGGTCTGTGTTATTATACACCAATCAAACCAGACAAGATTGACATGAGACCGGCAATTGACTGAAGGGAAATTGACATTACCCCGATTGGGTGCAAATGTTGTTTGGTGAGATGTCTGCGTGGAGTCGATGCGGCGGTGTGAATGGGGGTATTAATAAAACAAATGTTTAAATAGAGTAATAGGCCTCGAATGACAAACATGAAATGGAACTTCATGAGTGGCGTAGCATCAAAGTCATAGAGGGCCCCATCGAGGGGGGGGGGATGTTAAAAAAGATAGTTCCTTTCTAAAGAAGTGGGGGGGGGGGGGGAGGAGGGGGTACTCCCTCACACCTCCCCGCGCTTCTTCGCATTTCATCCACCTTGTAAGAATGTTGCCTTTCTTCCACTGGACAATAAGGATGTCTTACCAGGGAAGTCTTACTATGCATCAAGTAATAACCTCAATGAATCTTTGCATTATTCGGACATAATTCAGATCATGTTTTACTCATGTATATATTCTTTCCTTGTTCATCAATGGACCATCGATCCAAGACGTTGTTACTAATTTACTCCGAAGGTTCGATCAAACCTTTCCGCCAACTAAAAAGCTGTTTTGCATTCTCATAGACTTTTAGACCTACCTTTTTGGCATGGTGGCAGAAGTATACTAAGGGGGAAGAAAGAAAAAAATCTTCAAAATAACAGTTGATTCCCTGAATGAGTTTCTTTTTCCCCCAACATCCGGGTGCTGGTAAATTGATTTTTGTTAAATCTTCCTCACAATAGGTGGCTTACATGCAGAATTTTTGTTTAGAGAGAACGGTACGCGTTTTCAGGGAAATAGAGCAGATCTGGAATATGATTCATGATCTGACAAATTCGACCTTTTAAATTTCACAAATTAAGTGGGTCACGTACGAGAAAAGGGGAAATTTTGAGGAGGAGTGGTGTGTGGAGGTAGATAGACAGAGAGAGAGAGAGAGAGAGAGAGAGAGAGATTGTCTCGGCAAAAATCAACAGTAATTGAGTGCGAAATAGGTGTATTTGAATAGTATGCCCATTCATCTGAATTCCTAGTTTTTGTTGATGGCAGAACCGAAAGAATGCAGAAACACAAAGGATTTAGCAATTTAAAATAGTTCTCTCTTCACACGAGGGGGGATGTATGTACTTAACATATGTAATACCCTGAAGTGAATAGAGGACGATTGAATGGGTAACAAGTGTGTATAACGAATTCTACGGGTGGTATGCAAGGTTTAAATAGGCGAAATAGCCCCCCCCCCCCTCCTTTATACACACGGAGCACTGAGCCTGTACTTTTTACTCCCCAAAAGCATTGGTCGATTAATTTTGAACCATTTTCAATGGACACAGGGCATCTTCCTCATTTTGAAAACAAAACGAAAACAAAACATAATATAAACAAAAACAAATAATACACACACAAAATAAAATCCGGACAAGAAATTAGGAACTGATTTTTACCTAGCCTTATGTGAAAATGGCTTTTCATCGAATTGGGTGTGGTATTGATGCCAATGTCCATGACAATTTCAACATATTGACGTCATAATATTCACTGGTAATTAGGGCAACCACTATTGTTTGTACATTGCGGTGAACCTAAACACATAAACTATTTTGGTCAAATATGGAAAATATATGGGTGTGACCATGGTCACCTTTTGATAGACAGTACTGTTGTTGCCTTGAAATCCAGAAACATAATCACACTGAAACATTTTCAATATTATATAAAATGATCTATATCCCGTACGTCATCATATTACCTCCACTCCCTTTCTCAATTGAAATCATCCTCCATCCCTTTCATCAGTTTAAAGTACTGAACAATTGAAATGTATAGGATCCTATAAAACCTTTATCAATTCTCTGAAGACATATCTCTTCTACACTTCATAAATAATCAGAATCATGAACTCAGTGCATTGTTTTTTCTTTTTCTTCAAGTGCATAGAGACATGCAATTTGCCTATGTGTTATGCGCCATATTAATGTTTATTTATTATTATTATTATTATTATTGTATTAACTCATCATTGTTTCCATCAGTTTGCTCCATCATTTCTCATTGAAAAAGTTATTACAGTATAAAACAGAAATAACGCTGCATTCCATTAACAAATCTTAACTTTATGTCCCACAGTCTATGACAAAATCTTACGGGGAAATGTTATTTTCACGAGCAGCCACTGTTTTATTGAATGATTTGCCGGAATACCTTAGAAATATAGAAACATATGAAAAGTTCAGAAGCAATTTGAAAATATACTTATTTAGCACTTTGTACAAATCTCAAAATCATGAACCCAGTGCTGTCCATTTTCACTACTTACGGTATGTATTCTGTTCTGTAAAGCGCATAGAGACATGCAATTCTGCCTAGTGTGTTTTGCGCTATATCAAAAGATTATATCCCTCTACGTTTCTCTTCATCTAACCATCTTTCTCTTCTTTAGAAAAGCCCACGTTTATATCCCTATTTTTTACCTTTTATAATTTATTCAAATAAAGACCTCGTCTTTCTGTCCCCCTCACTCTTGCACTCTCCCCAAGTATTCCTTCTCCCCTCTTTTCTATCTCCCTCTCTATATATCTCTTTCTCCCCCTCTTCTTTTTCCTTCTCTCCCTCCCCCTTCTCTCCTCTCTTCCACCTTTTATAATCTATTCAAATAAAGACCTCTTCTGTCTGTTCCCTCTCTCTATCTCTTGCACTCCCTCCCGGTACTCCTTCTTCCCTCTTTAATTTCTATCTCCCTCTCTATATATCTCTTGCATTCTTTTTCTATCCCTCTTTTTTTTTCCTCTCTCCCTCCTCTTTCTCTTTCTCTCCAACCCCTCCCTCTATCCCTCCCCTCTCTCTCTAACCTTACACTCTCCCTTTAGCCACGTGCCACCTTTCAATTTCCCCTTCCTTAAAAATGAAACAAATTTTTGCCACAGCCATATAGTTTTTCACAAAAATGAAACAAAGTGAACAAAACAGAGCAATATTACATTATTACAGAATGTATTTCAAATTTTGTGTTGGTAAAAATGTACAGATATAATTTGCAGCATATTATTCAATTTAATCAAAGATTCAAAGATATATATTTATATTCTTAACATTTCAAATTCTTCTATTATAAAAAAAGTATTGGAAAAAAAGACTATAAAATGAACAGAATATGACTTGATTGTCGTAACACTATACATGTATCTTCAAAATTGTAATTCTATTGCAAAAATTAAACAACATCAAATGACAATAAAAGTCAAGTACAAAAATAGCACAAATCTCCTTGAATATAGATTTTTGTTGGTGTAAATGCAGCTGAGAGTATATACCTTTAGATAATATCAATCTTAATTCATAAGCACTCAGGATTCCCAATAGTTGACAATGTTTCAATTGCATGAAAAGCTGGTCACTGACCCTCTTTGTAAAGATACTCATTTGTATGCACCTGCCTAGTACAGTCAAACCTGCTTTAGTGACCACCTGTCTACAAAGATCACATTTTTTCTTTCCCTTGAAAATGGTTTCTCGTTGAAACATGTACTAAAGGAACCTATCTACAAAGACCACCTGTCTTCAAAGATCACCTTTTGTGTTTCCCTTAGGCGGCCGCTATAGACAGGTTTGACTGTATATACATGTACTCTGATTTTCTCCTTTGGCTGTTCCATAAACGTTTCTGTTTTGTTGTTTGAATAAACTTGTGTGTTTTAGCCTAGAGATTATCATTCATTCATTTCCCCGTCTGTTAGATGGAACACCCTAATAGCAAAGGCTGATTTTCAAAGCGCTTAAAGACGTTGGTGGAAAGCGCTTTATAAGCACCGTTTCATTATTATTATTATAGGGGTTAAAGAGAAGGTTGAGTTCTAGCGGGAGAGGTAAAAATTAATTTGTGAGCATTATCGTTGTTATTATGCAAGTGTGGAAGAACATCAGATAAACAATGTTCCCTGAATGGCATGGCTCTTTAAATGCCTTAATATTCTAAATATGGCATGTAACATCATAAAAATCAGGATGGATTTTAATGCCAGATGTTCGTGTAGTCCCATATACATCTTTCTATGTACAGTGCTTGTAACTTTACCAAAAAACTTGGCCAAATTTCTGATCATTTTGATGACTCCTGAACCTTGAAGTACACACCAATACTTATATGCTAGCTAGATGATCAACCTTTTCTGATCGATTCCACAGCGTTTCTTTCACAATGCAATTGCATGACCAAAACTCAACAAAATATTTGAATCAACACTTTGTACCTTTTAAAATAAATTTTACAAAATATTTTCAAAGATGCTAACAGCTTTCCATAATGGTTAAGTCCAACTTAGAGATAAGTTCAACTTAGAATCTTTGTGAAACAACCCCCAGTTTTACCAGAAGTTTCGATTTCATTACCAGAATTTAAAATTACAGAATGGGCATCTAAAAGACCCTCTTTGAACTGATCAGGGGGGCATTTCACAAAACTTGTCATCAGTGACAAATGACAGTTTTTGTTAAAAGCTAGTGAAATCCTTCCTTCTGATTGGTTATCAGCAGATTTGTCACTGATTTTAGTCATTTGTCAATGAAAAAAGGCTTTGTGAAATGGGTCCCAGTACTGTCCTTTGATGATATCCTCAAGTTCTTCTCTGCTTCCTTCAACCTTGCAGCAGCTCTGCCTGTCTTGCCTTTAGTTTCTTCCTGTACTTGGCCACCTCCACACCTTCCCAGGTTCGACTCACTCCTGGCGGGAAGAATCTGGAAACAAAACAGCACCAAAAGAAAAAAAAAAAAATAATAGGCATTTCTGTAGCGCCGTCAATCTAGAAATTCTATTCCGAGGCGCATTTATTATTACCTCGGCTTTAGCCTAGCTGCCATTACAGCGCTCCGGCATTTCAAGGAATTAATTCCTGCCAGGTACCCATTTACCTCACCAGAGTCGGGTGTGGCAAATGAAGATTAATGCCTTGCCAAAGGACATTAGTGCCGTATCGGGGATCGAACCATGACCTTTGAATTTCAAGTTAAGTGCTTAAACCACTCAACTACCACACTTCCACATCTTTACTACTAATGTCACTTTTTTGGCAGCATATTGTCTTTGGAGGTAGAAGAGCATTAATTCATAAACTTTAACACAAAATTACAGTTTATGATTTGTCTTTTCAGAATAGGAGTGTACAGCCATAGCAGGAGATGCAAGTAAACCACAAAACAGACGACTTTATATGCCCAAAATCCATATGGTCTCTTGTGACAGACGGATAGTAATAATAACAATAATGTATTTATATAGTGCATTTTCCATAGACAGTCAAACCTGTCTGTAGCAACCTCCCAAGGGAAACACAAGCCAGCTTCCTTTATGCTATGGTCACATCACCCAAAAGTAGCCTGCTCGGCGGCCGAGCGGCAAGTTTTAAGCCAATTCTGCCCGGCCACCGAGCGGCGGCTGCCCAGGCACCGCTTGTTTTTAAGGCATCGCTCGGTCGCTGCTAAAGTATTAGCGCGGAGTTAAAATTTGGGCGACGCCTGCTCACTTTCTCTCGTCCCCCAAACTACGCTCAGTGACCGGGCGCCGACCTTATCGAGCGTTCACCGTCGAGCGATTTAGGTAAAAAATCGAAGCCGCTAGGTCAAATGCTGTAGAGCAGTTGCCACCCGGTCGCTGCCCGGTCGAGGCTGGGAGATCATTCGGTCACTGGGCGGCGAGTCCAAAATCGATCGGCAGCCTTTTACCTAGCGGCTTCAATTTTTGATCTAAATCGCTTGGCCGCGAACGCTGGATTAGTTTGGTGCCCGGGCGGCGAACGGCCAGGCATCGAGCGTATTTTGAAGCCTCGTTGATCACTGGCAATATTTTTAAAATCAGCCGGCGACCGGCTGATCGACAGGGCACCGACCAGGCATCGCTGGGGCACTACAGCCAGCTCGACTTCTCCAAATAATCGCTGGGCGATGCCTTAATTCCAGCGGCGACTGAGCAGGCTACTAATCGGTCGGTTGCCGCTCTGATTTGTGACCATAGCTTAAGTACATGTTTCAATGAGAAACAAGAAATGTTGTCTTTGTAGACAGGTGGTCACTAAAGAAGGTTTGACTATATGTTCAAATACGTTTTACAATTATGTCGTTAACAGAAGAGGTGAGTTTTGAGATTTTTTAAAGGTATTGAGAGATCGCTGGTTGCGTAGAAATATGATAAGGTTATCCCACAGATTGGAGAACAGCAGAAGTGAAGGCTCTGTCACCAAGTGTGAATAGCATCCTGGATAACCGATGCCAACAATACAGAGATGAGGCCCTTTTCTGGCTCCAAACATTGTCTGTCCCCTGCTTGGTTAAAGCCATCGGTACCCTGGCCGCTAATACCTACAAGCATATGCATGCTTTCTCAGCAGTCAGGTAAAAACAAATCAACCATTACACTTACTCCTTTTGAATTTCCTGCAAGACTTTCTCCTCTGTTTCACTGAGCTTGTTGTGTACCACATCCAAATTGCGCTCCAGAAATGATGGTCTATTTTTAAAAGAAAAATTGCACAATTTAGTACTCAACAGGAATAAATCTGTAAAATTATCAATCTAAAGTATTTAATAATAGCTTCTTTCAAAAGCAAATTCGTTATGAGTATTATAATTAGCTTCAAATTTATTCTTATTTATCACTCAGTGACTGTTATTTGTTCCGGAGATAATCGCTCTGGAATTTGTTAGCTCCAGGGTTCAGGATGATTACAGTATTAGGTCAAGGGTTAATGTTAAGAATTCACTTTTGCTCCAATTTGCTCCAAGACATGGTATAATAAGGACAATGATGAATGACGCGCCCTCTATATAGCAAACAATACCTAATTGGTGCCTGTTGGTCCCCCATGATCCCCTTTTTGTTATGTTAATTGAGAGCTGATTTGATGAGCTAACCACCCATCAGTGACCATGCAGGGAGGTCGAATCTCCCCTGGCCAAACTAGTGCAGACAGGCTTTAAGTAGGCCTTCAAAGTTTACTGAGCGCTCACCTGTCCATGCCGACTAAAACTGTTGCTACTTTTGCCTGTGAGAAGGAAAAGTGTATGGCTAGTTTGGCAATGTCCACACCATGATCTTGGCAGTACTGAGCAGCATTCCGGCAGGATGCTTTGACCTCATCAGAGGCTGGGTGCCAGTCTGGGGGACCAAAGGAGGTCAACAGAGCCATGGAGAGGGGCGAGGCCGAGATCACACCAATTCCTTTTTGCTATGAATCAAAACAAAGAAACAAACTTTGCTAATAAAGCGCTTTCCATCGTAGTCTCTAAGCGCTTTGGAAATCAGCCTTTGCTATTAGGGTGTTCCATCCAAAAGGAGGGAAAATGAATGAATGAAAGGCTAAAACACACAAGTTTTTTCAAACAACAAAACAGAATTGTACTGTTAAACCAGAAACAAAGGTGTCGTAGTTGAGTAGAAATTCCCTAATTTTCATATCATTCATCACTTTTTCTAAAAACTTATACAAATCTCTCCTGTATGTTCATTCTCCCTTTCCTCCCTCTCTCTTTTTTAATTTCCTCCTTTAATAGACCAGTTCACGGTTAGCACATGACAGCAATGACCCCAAATATACACAGATCTTTAAAACATGAAGAGGTCCCAATTTGTACATTTTGAAATAATCACTCCTACAGCGATAGAGGTGCTAAATAAATAGCCTTTGTTTCCCCTTTACAAAGAATACTTCCACCTGTGTATCATGGAGTGCACTGCTTGTGCACGAATGAATAATGATTACTGGTACATAACTTTCATGAGCACCTATCCAGTATTTCGTCTGCGTGTATTTCACAATTTGTTCTGCAATGACCTTTATCTGCTCATGCTCAGACTGCAACCGTGAACTGGCTTATTCTAAAGCTTATCCGATGCTTAGTTGGACCCCTGTTTAAAAGGCAATCCAACCTTTAAAATTAGTTTAATATTAGTGTGAAAGCAGAAAATAAAAGAAACAGAACAGCAAAAGTTTGAGATAAATTGGACCAAAAGATAAGAAAGTAAAGAGCGTTTGAAATATGTAATCTCTACACGTCTGCAAAACTCAAATTGGCAATTTGTTCAGTGGATCGTGACATAGTCATGGACAACGCTCTAGTTTATCATGTACAAAAATATTCTAACTTTCTTTTTTTTCTGTTAAGTACCAACTCCCTGGGGTATTACTCCAAATATATTATGGACAGCATACTATTACAGGTCCTGTAAAAAGTAAAAAGCTCTTGTGTCATACATTTCAAAAATCAATATGGTAGCAATTTTGTGTGTTGAAACAAATGGGAGAGTAGTGAGGTCACCAGTTTGGCCAATTTGAAATTCCCTCACATACAGTGATTGCAACTTTTTAAAAGTCATAATTTTATTATCATTTGTCCAACTTCATTCAAACTTTCACCAATTTGCAATTAAGTTTAGATTTTCCTTTAGAGCCCCACTGCACTACTTATAGCTACTTGCGCCCCTAAATATAAAACAATGCATAAACGGTGCCTGTTGGTCCCCCATGATCCCCTTTTTCTTATGTTTAAAGCCCGTCTTCACTGGTTTGGCCAGGGGGGATTAGACCTCCCTGCAAGGTGGTTATGGTTATTTCATCAAATCAGCTCTCAATTAACATAAGAGAAAGGGCATCATGGGGGATCGACGGGTACTGCTTAAGCATTGTTGGCTGTATAGAGGGCGCAAGTAGCTGTAAGAAGTGCAGTGGGGCTTTAAAGGAAACCCATTCCTATTGACTTACCTCAAAGTATGCAATATGATCAAGTAATGAAGAATCGTTGAGGTCCAGATGACAATATGATAATACTGAATCAATCTTCACTGTACTCCGTTCTACAATCTCCCTGGATAATGAAACACAAGAAGCAGGCTTTTATCTCAAGCAGCAGATCGATGTACAAGATGAATAAGACTGCGTCTCTAATTCTACCTACATATAAATTCACTGATCAATGATCCTGTGACCTTTAACATCTGACCTCAAGGACCAAAATGCTTATCCTTTAATTTCTTTAGTGGTTTTATTATTACAGTGATAAGTTATTTTCTGGTATTTGAAATCATTACAGTAATAAGTTATTTTCTGGTATTTGAAATCATTACAGTAATAAGTTATTTTCTGGTATTTGAAATCATCACAGTAATAAGTTATTTTCTGGTATTTGAAATCATCACAGTAATAAGTTATTTACTGGTATTTGAAATCATCACAGTAATAAGTTATTTTCTGGTATTTTAATCATTACAGTAATAAGTTATTTTCTGGTATTTGAAATCATTACAGTAATAAGTTATTTTCTGGTATTTGACATCATTACAGTAATAAGTTATTTTCTGGTGTTTTAAACACTTTTATGACCTGTGAGTTTTTACTTTTTACAACCAAAATCTATTCAGTTTATTTCCTCATGCTCATATATACTTCATCCAAGTTTGGTTTGAAAAACTTCAATGCTTTTCAAGTTATCACGGTACCAAGATATTCTCTGGTATTTCCTAACCCCTTTTTACAACCCGGTGACCTTTGACCTCTTCCATCAAAATGCTAATCAGTTCATTCTTGCAATGTTTACACATACTCCATTCAGGTAAACCATACTAAAACACAAATCTTGTCAACCTGGTAACAGAGCTCTGGTAGTAAGTAAATTTTGTGAACAAGCTCAGAGAGAAATAGAGAGGGAAACAGATTGCAACAGAAAGAGAGAGAGAGACTGAGAGGGGAGAGAGAGAGAGAGAGAGAGGGGGGAAGTGAACCAGAGAGAGAGAGAGAGAGAGAAGGGGGGGGGGGAGAGGAGAGAAAGCGAACCAGAGAGAGAGAGAGAGAGGGAAATGGATTAACACAGAAAGAGAGAGAGACGGAGAGGGGGAGAGAGAGAGAGAGAGAGAGAGAAACAGACAGAGAGGGGAAGAGAGAGAGGGAGAGATAGATAGAGAGAGAGAGATAGATAGAGATAGAGAGAGAGAGAGAGAGAGAAAGGTAGAGAGAGAGAGAGAGAGAGAGAGAGAGAGAGCACCATGCATCCTCACCGAAGTGTGCTGATTGGATACCCAGTGATACCAATAAATCTAGCTTTCCCAGCCTCTTTTATCTTCTGAAGAGCTGGCAGTGTCTCGTTCAAAATGATCTCAACATTCTCAGCAAACTCCACATCATGCACCTAGAGAAAGACAACAACAAAAAAGTTTTTTTAGTCAAAGGAAAATTTGACTACATGTATTTATCAACTGAATCAATTGCAAGTTGCTTTATTTATGCATTCATATTTTAAAGGCACACTTTTGTCCATATTTAATCATATATTCAATCTGAATTGTACATTTCATCTGTATAATACAAGGACACAGGAGAATACACGCGTGTCACTGTTTAAATATAACCTTTTAAGAAGCACTATAACATTTATTTGAACGAAATGCTGGAATACTGTCCCAAATGATTTGAATTTGTGTCCAACATTGTTAAATTTCAAAAATAAATATAAATCTTACCTGTTGTGCAATGACATTTAAAAACCCAGATCATGCATGTAAACTTTCTTTCCTTATGTTTCTCTTTCTCTCTCCTCCATGATTTTCCTAATATTACTTTACACGGGGATTTCCCCAGATAAACCTTTAATTGGCTTTTGGTGATCCCCCCCACATTCACATATCCCAGTGTACCGGTAGTTCTTACCTTCGTTTTTCATATGTTGTTATTATTGTTTAATTATTGAATTAAAAAAAAATATATTGTTTGTTTCTCTGTAATTTGTATATCATGTATTTTTCAGTATATTATATTGCATTTTCTTGTTTTTATCTTTGAATGATCAATAAATGAAATAGCCATGTATTATTTTTTGTTATAAGTTCCACATGTATGTTTCATTTTATTTTATTGCGGATAGGTGGCAGATATGAGAGAAGGTTGGATAAACAGTTATAATCCGTAACAGATGAGTAAGTCTTTGCATCAGCAATACCAAGAACTGAAACTTCTCTTGTACATGTTACTTACTATGGTATACAGTCAAACCTGCTTTAGTGACCACCTTTCTACAAAGACCACCTGTCTACAACAAGTACATTTTATGTTTCCCTTGAAAATGGTTTCTCATTGAAACATGTACTAAAGGAACCTGTCAACAAAGACCACTTTTTGTGTTTCCCTTGGGCGGTCGCTGTAGACAGGTTTGACTGCCGGTATCATTTATTTTTCAATTGCAGCAAATATGAACTTGTTCTGTGAAATTATGCTGTCTTTTGCTTCCTGTGACTTAACACTTTTATATATTTATTTTTGGGCCGATTTTTACTCAACAGGGACCCGGACAAAATAAAGGGCATGTGTTATTGCCCGTGCAGGTCGTTATGTATAATGTACACTGTACATGTAAATAATGTCCTCAGTACACGCCATATTACCTGGATGATATCCACACATCTGAGCCCTAGTCTTGATAAGCTCTCATCCACGCTACACTTAACTCTCTCAGCAGAGAAATCAAACATGCCTTCCACGTCCTTCTCATATCGTCCCACCTTGGTACCGATGTAGTAGCTGCTTCGAGGAATGTCCTCCAAAATCTGGTGGGAAATCAAGAAATGAATCCTGTGTAATAATAACAATTATAATAATGATTGATGATGATGATGATGATGACCTTCTGATGTTTGTATATCTTGTATTTCTTTTTTTTTTACACTTGTAATATCTTTTATATACATATATGTTTTTTATTGAATGGAATGAATAAATCTTGAATCTTGAATGATAATTATAATAATAATAACTAGAAATATCGCAATATATATAGCCATGCAATGCGAATGTATCCTCCGGCAGTGGCAGCAATTTTTGTGTCATCCTTATGTTTGAAGGAGGGACAAAGATCCCCTCTCCCCTCCTTGAAACAAAAGGATGACACATCTTTACACGTTTTTCTTCTGACTTATCTTGACTATACCAAGGTGCGTTATCAATTGTTGATACTGTTCTTTAATTCCTTCAAGACACTAGTCAATATTACTCTACCCCATGATCAAAGTCACATCATCTATAAGTATTCTAACATACCTCTCCAAGCTGTGCTCATGTAACTGACATTGCTTTTTAACTCCTTCAAAACACAAGACCCATTTTATTGCTTATCATAAAATGATGACGTGGATCCGTACACGTGACCAGGCATTTATTTGGCCTAACGCGTAATTTGGATAATGACCGGTCATTAGTAAAATCATGTTATAAAACATCACTTTGTAAAACAAATAAAACATCATCTTATAAAACAAATAATACACATTACTTTGTTCTGGCATTAGTAAAATTACCCACACTTGGTACCTTCAAAACATTCCAAACACCCTTGGCTATCGCCTCTAGCGTGTTAGACTGTTCCAAAGGTACCTCGTGTGGGTAATTCTTACTAATGCCCTCACTGATGTGCATTATTTGCTTACTACACCACTATCAACATACCTTTCCAAGTTTTTCTTCTGACTTGCCCTGTCCGTACCAAGGCGCTGTGTCAATGTAGTTGATACCACTCTTTAGTGCCTTCAAGACGCAAGCCTGACCTTCCGCGTCACTAGGTGCCTCGGCAGTGTAAGGGTTACCTAGAGGCGAAGCACCTGCAATGGCAAGTCAAGTTAAACATAAATTTGAGTTCTGGTCATGCAATTGCATTGTGAAAGAAATGGTGTGGAATCGATCAGAAAAGGATGATCATCTAGCAATTAATCATTGGTGTGTACTGCAAGGTTCTGGAATCATCAAACTGATAAGAAATTTGGCCTAGTCTTGGGATAGTTACAAGCACTGTACACAGGAAATACACACAGAATACAGAATACACAGAATAACCCTTTTTTTCCCATCCAAGACACCTTCAAATTATGAATTCAAGTGATTGGAGTTGAGCCCTGAGGAGTCGTGCACCCTATGATGTAAAAATTGTCAGTACTCCCTTTGCAGATTTAACGATAATATCCCCCAATCGGCTGTTTTACTAGCCCCACGCCAACCAACCTGAAGCTCCGACGCCTGCGGCGCCGGTGTTGTAGCTTCCTGGAGTTAGTGCAAACCATCTGTCTTTAATAGTAGACACGTATATTGTTCACTTCAATAAAAAAATATGTTGTAGAATTGATCAATTCAAAGTTCATTTTAATGTTAAGAGGGTCATACTCATAGTCTATTCCTGCACACACACAGAACCTTACCGAAGCCGACGGAGGACAGCTCCATGCCGGTGTTACCGAGAGGCGTGTAGCACATCCTGGCGACCTCCTCCGGGTCGTGGAAACCCTCGATGTATGTAGCCACCATACCTGTGAAACATTTGAGCTGGATGGAATACACAAAACACCAAAGATAAATGGTTAACACCTGACCTGGGTGGAGAGTGGCAAATGCAGATTAATGTCTTGCCATGATGAATGTACCAATATACCATGGCACCATACTCCATGGTTTATTTGATGGTTACCAATTACTACATCTTGTTGAACAAATTTATGAAGGTTCTTTACTTTAATCTTGTACATAATTCCAAAATAGAATACGGTTCATAATTCAAGAAATGAAATAAAATTGAATTAATATTAGGAAAATGCAATTATTTAAATGATTTAGTAATAAAAAGATTGAAAATGATACCAAGAAATAAGAGATGCAATATACATGTACTTCCAAATTTGTGTAGATTATACAATAGAAGTAGTTGAAAAATATAATTGTGAGTATTTCATTACATGACTGTTGAATCAGTTTTGTTCTTGAGATGGGTATCCCCCGGATATTTTCGTTTGATAGTTTATAAAAATACACCAATATATTATTCTTGGAAGATACGATGTAATGAAGTTTGTGTCCAATGTTTTAGGTGTCAGTTGAATAATCAAATGACAAAACTTCAACATTCCAAATGTTAAAAAAAACATTTTTTAAACTATTCATTTTACACATTTGAAGATAGAATTTATCTCGAAAGCAATATGGGTCTGAAAAGTAAAGAATACACTTCAATTATGGCTTGCCTGCCATGGCAAAATACATATCCCTTTGACGATTTTACAATGTGGAAATAAAGGCGTATAATCAGTTTATTTAAGTGGGAAAATCCTTAAATACAAACATGGAATATTGTCATAAGATTATCAAATACAAAAAACGATAACTCACTGTTTAAGTAAATGTGTAGAAAAATCATAGTTGGAGGATTTATTGTCCTTTTTTGCCAGCCTTAGACCCCTGTTACACATACGTCTGAAAGTGGACTGAGGCCGGCCCCGGAGTCGTTTCGACGTATGTGTAACACCAACTTTTTTTGAAAAGCCGGACTGAGGCCAGGAGGACTCAGTCGACCTCTGGATGTGGTTTGAGGCCGGCCTCAGTCCCGCAATCGGTAGGTGTAACACCAAAGTGGACTCGGGGCCGGCATTATCAACATAATACATCGGGCGCGCCTGCCACCTTCTCTTATGTTATTCTTTGTTTTTATCATTCTATCACTCTCTCTTTATGTCTTTCCTTATGTTATTCTTTGTTTTTGTCATTCTATCACTCCCTCTTTCTGTCTTTCCTTATGTTATTCTTTGTTTTTATCATTCTATCGCTTTCTCTTTCTTTATTTCTTCCTTCTATAACCTTCTCTTTCCTTATGTTATTCTTTGTTTCTTCCTTCTATAACCTTCTCTTTCTGTCTTTCCTTATGTTATTCTTTGTTTCTTTCTTCTTTCATCTTCTTTTATGTTATTATTTGTTTTTATCACACTTTCTCTTTCTGTCTTTCCTTATGTTATTATTTGTTTCTTCCTTCTATTACCTTCTCTTATGTTATTCTTAGTTTTTATCATTTATCAATTTCTCTTTCTATCTTTCTGGAGTCCGCCCCAACATCAGCTCGTGAAAAGGCGACGTGAGGCCGACCTATGTGTAGACGCAAAATTGCAAGCCCGAGATCACGTGTAACAGGGGTTTGATGATCTCGAGGCGGCTTCAAATTGCAGGTGTGAGGCTGCCTCCGGGCCTGCTTTAAAAGCCGACGCATGTGTAACAGGGGTCTTAGTCTACCCAATAAATGACATGTGATGGCGCTGCCCATCGACTAAATAGTTATGACAGAGATACGACGGTGTCAGAGGCGTCGTAACTACTTAGTCAGGATGTTGTCGTTGATCTTGGCAAAGAGGGCTTGGTGAAACACGTAGCGGACAAGTTGCTCACTAACGCTGATTTAGTCAAGAAGTTAGACTTATGACACACATAGGAGCATCACTATCCTGGCTGTGTAGTAAAAGCTGTGCTTTTGATTCTCAACATTTCAAACTCCACTGTACAAAACTCAACTGATTTTACTAAAAATCGGTACTTTAGTGACAATTGATGACACCTAAATAGCAGTAAAATACATTTTTTTAACTTACTGATGTTAAAAACAATAATTTAAAAAATCAAATTGTAAGTCTAGTGTCAAACTTTGCTTACAGCTGCATCGACATGATTGTGTACAGTCTATGCGATATTGTGTGGTGTGTATATTTGTGTATAGACTTCTAGGTCCCTGTCTCACAGCATGTATGCAGTGCTAGAGGTCAATACGCTTTATTATTGACTCTCTATGCTTTGCTGGAGTGACTTATGACGGTTTCTAGGAACGGGCCCCTGTAGGCTGTACTTCAACAAAATTCAGAATTCAGAAGAAGAAGTTGCAGCACCCTAGGCCTAGGGCTAGACCGAAAGCTTCAGTTGATAGAAAAGAATCTAGATAGATCTAGACCTAGACCTAAGTAGATTCTAGATCTAGACCGTAGAGTGTACTGTAGATCTATTCTAGACTAGTGTTGTCGTCCTGGTCACGGCAGCCTGGTGAGACTACTTCTGAAGTTCTGGCTCAACTGAGCTGACCGCCGACCGAGATTAATTATGGAGGGATCAACATATCGCTTTCTATCTCTGAGGTCAGTGGAGCCAAACGTAATCTCAGCTCAGCGGAACAACCGTCGACATCAAAGACTGTTCGAAGCGAGGCTAGCTATCGGCTAGACCGAAAACTTCAGTCTCTCTAATCTTCGGTTGTTCCACTGAGACTACGTCTGGCTCCACTAGACCTCCGATTATAGAGACTGAAGATTGTCCTATCGGGACTGTACGGAACCAATGGTTCGGTTCGGCAGGACCGCGATGAATGAGATATGCTACGAGATTTTCACTCTTTACATCCTCACACATGCTGCAATATGACAATAATTAGAGTCTAATTAAAAATAACATATAAATAGCTTATTTGACTTACGATAGCTTGCTCATTTAGATCCTAAATTAATGATTAATCCGAGAAAGTCTCGTCGTCAACATTATCCGTCTTGGTTTTAGTTGATGAATATTAATTTTTTCTTTTCGAACGTCCAATAGCTACCGTAGCTACATACGAGTCGGCCCGGCTTGACCAACGAACTCCCACGAAACGAGTGCTCTGATTGGCCATTGGCTATGTTTTGGTAGGTGGACCCGGAAATACATCGGCCGCCGGGTAATATTTCGAATGCATGAACGTACTGCTTCGCGGTTCTGAGGTACAAATTGGATAATTCATATAAGTAAGTCCGTAAATTATTTATTTAATATTGAGTTATCAAATTTTGATAACTGTAATTAGGACAAATGACATATCGACCTAATTTACATCTGATTTAGAAATCAGGAAATTAGTCTAGTCTAGACCTCTAGATCTAGATCTAGATCTAGAGTCTACTCTGTCTAGGTCTAAATAAAGAAAATCGGGGGAGAAATGTCGGTAACGAAAAGCTGTTACGCTGTGGCTCTAATTTACCCCCACGGTACGAGATCTCTGGGTTGCCATCTGTATTGGGGAATGACAACAAATGTCAGTTTTATTAAAGAAATGACCCAAATCAGATGGTTATTGCTGTCTAGCTATCGGCCTACACCACTGACGCCTGCCACCAGGACAGGGTGCCCCGAGTCGCGGCACCACGACCGGTTACGTTTGGGTAGACTATTTCCACAGTATTTGCGCCATTTTACGTGACGCCTGGGAACACACAAAACGGATCGTCACACACATCACAAACGTGAGCCCAATTCTAAGAACTAGGACTACATTATACAAAGATGAAAGACATTCTTGAAAACTTTCTAATACTCACTCATCGGCTTACTTGGTCAATCTTCGTTGTGAATTCACCGTACCGGATCCGAGAGAGAGAGAGGGAGAGAGAAAGAGAAAGAGAAAGAGAAAGAGAAAGCTAACGTATCCACTTAACTAGTCTACTCCAAGTCGTTTTAAATTAAATTTAGTATCCTAATTAGACCACAATTTTCTTTCTGGGATACCCACATGATGTAGGCCAATGCTAGCTCTGCCAGTTGAGACTACACTAAAAGATAATAATAAGTAAAAGAACAAGAAAATGGAGGAAGAAAGGACACATTAGTAGGGAAATAATATCATTATTGAGGAAAGAAGTTTGCGAGGATAACAAATATACGAGCAGAGTTACGCCCCCTTTAGTTCCGTGCTGTATGCTCTATATAGTGCCTGAATATTGCTGGTGCAAAGCATATTTTCACCGTTTGTGGACAAAGATCAATTAGGTCAAATAACAAAAATTAATTGTAAGTTTCGTCCCCGCCCGCCTCCTTTTTGGCCGCCGCCGCCACCTCCTTTTATAAAAATATATGTTTTTTTTTTTTACTATTTACTATTCGGAAAAAAGGCACATAAAAGCCCCCCCCCCCCCCAAAAAAAAGCCTGTGATTCAGTTTTGTTTAAATAGATTCTAAAATGAATCAAATCATTTGGCATACATCGCATCAGTATACTCACATGCCACAGTATCTGTGAATGAATAGGCTTGGCAGGCTATAATTAGCATGCCAGCCATCTTGGGAAAAAAATTGCAAAATATAAATAATGCCCTGATCCTTTGTGTGCGGAAACAAGTGGCCTTTTCGTTACATATTTCAGCTTCCGTAAAAATATGCTGACATTTCGTTTAGCTCGGTCTCTTGTTTAGGTATTTATCACACTTTTAAAGGTAATACAAAGTTTTGGATCCTGAAATGAACCACAAAGTTTTGGTATGGCGCGGTTCACTGAGTGAACATATTGGAAGCATAATGCGATCCCATAGTATTCACTGATCGTTGTCGCGGTTGAAATCGAGTCTAAAGTTATGAAATTGTGAATAATAAACTCTTTATGTTGTATAACTCCCTCTCAAGGTCAAGATATTAATTAAGCTTTAATGTTTCTTGACTAAAATCAACCGATTAGCTATTCCCGTTTGGAAATTATATATCACTACTACATATTCTGTGATTTTCATGGTCGCAGCTACCATTGTACGGCCGTAGGCGCTATTTGAAATTTATTAAAAATTACCGGGAGCACCGGTAAATTTTTATATTCAAGTTTTCTCGAAAGCAGAAGTGTTTTAGGGCTAAATTTTTTGGTGCTCATAATACATCCACAGGGGCATCCAAATATATCAAAATCCACTATCCACCAAATTTTCAACATTTCCCAAAACTTTATAAATTATTACCTTTAAGGAAATTCCAACTTAGAAAAGACTCCTAAAGAGGAACAGCATACCTACGTGATATTATGGTCAGGAGTCGAAGGATTTAGGATGTTCAATACGTGGAAGATGACATAAGAAGTACTGAGCAACCCCAAGAACGTTTGGGAAGCATCAGAGGCAGGGGCGTACGCAGGGGGGTGTTTTGGGGTTCAAACCCCCCCTTTGGTATTTTTATGTATGTAAACCCCCCCTAAAAAAACCTAAAACCCCCCCCCTTTGGTTTTTTTTTATTTTATTTTTTTAATTATTTAAAAAAAAAAAAAAAAAAAAAAAATAATTATACCCTATATTATACCCTATACCCTATATTATATATTAGGCTAACCTAAATAAGGTGACCTTACCCCCCCCCCCCCCAACGACAAAAAATGTCAAATTATGAAATTTCGAGACCAAAAAAAAAATAAAATGTGTCCGCTTACCCCCCCCCCCCCCCCCCCCCCCCCCCCCCCCCCACTGAGCGACTTTTCGGCTGGCTGAGTCGTTGCGATTTTTTTTGACCTCCAAAAAAAAAAAAAAAAAGTGTCCGCTTACCCCCCCCCCCCCCCCCCCCCCCCCCCCCCCCCCCCCCACTGAGCGACTTTTCGGCCGGCGCGATTTTCAAATTTTCGGGAGCAAAATATTTTAAAACCCCCCCCTTGAAAAAATCCTGCGTACGCCCCTGATCAGAGGGATACCCAGCTAGAGCCCCAGGAGAATTTCCTGCTCTTAAAGCAGGAAAAACAACTGTGACAGTAAGTTGAAATCGAACAAAAATAAGAAAGTTATCAATTTGGAAAGTTGTATTGGCTGGATCGGTAAGGTCACTGAGACGTATACAGTGTCGGACAACTTTCCCATTTGTTTAAAAACACATACAATGACTAAAATGTCAATTTTAAAAATGAGTAAAACATGAGGGTATTTTCCTTTTAGATTACCTGTAAAAATATGCTATACATATTGATGAATTCCAAAGGGATAGGCACATAGGAGAAAAACAAAATGAATTATATTTTTGTACACTTCAAACTGGAGAGTTGTCCGTGTGTATACGTCACATTAACATAGATTGTTTGATTAGGGATTGTTTTGGTGGTTCATCCTGGTATGCAGGAATAGTTGGAGATTGGAAAAATTACCGAAGGTCAGAATCATCAACTCTATACTAAGAAAAGATGGCCGGATTTGGACTCGAATTCAGATTCAAATTATCATAATCATGATTATACCTTTTACAGTCGTGATTCTGATGTCTGCTCATATTAGGTTGATAAGTCAAACGCACGACTGGAATAAAACTTGTCTCATGTCTATGGCTTTAACATGTTTAAGTTATATGTGTTCGAAGGAGAGGGTGAGAGATATGACTACAGAATCTTTGTTATCAATCTGATTTGTTTGACGGTCATTCAACTGTTTTCGAACGCCAAATACCAGCTCCAAAGAGGCCTATATTACGTACTCACTAAAACCTGGGACTTGATAGAGAAGGACTGGAATCAAGCCGGCGAAACTCTTGTAATTTATTCAACGCATTCGTGAGTTCTAAAGCGTAACAATGGGATGTATAACATTCCACTTGGCTTTGAAGTTTCATGCTCCACACCGCTCTTCCACTGCGGGGACTTTGGGAAGCCAGACACCATTTATTACGAAATATGTATGTACATATGAAGAGCTTGATTCCAAAAGGAGCTAAATCCATATTTTATCAAAATGGAGTTATTTGTCTTAAAATAATGATTTCCTACATAGGGACAAAATGCACTATATCTCATTCGAAAATTTCACCAGGAAATATAAAAAAAAATTAGGTACAATATCATGTTTCATTCCAAAAGGAGCTAAATTCAAATCGGTTTCATTCCAAAAGGAGCTAAATCCACTTTGAGTAAATGACCATTTTTATTTATCCACTTTCCCTTTAGCAATGTAACTTCATTTTGTTATAAATGTTAAAGGTGTCGCCCTGGACCATTAATATATGATTTTTTTAAAATCTACCATTTATTTCTGATTTTTACTAAATTTTTAGATTTTGTGGATTTAGCTCCTTTTGGAATGAAACATGGATTTAGCTCCTTTTGGAATGAAACGGATTTAGCTCCTTTTGGAATGAAAATGTGATATGTTGTTTACTTTCTTTTCAAAAGGTTATTTTAGTTGTGATTTCACTATTATTATTTAAATGGAAAGGTTTGCTACTAAATTTGAATACATTTCAGTGACTTTATTGAGAAAAAATGAAATTTTCCAGGTACAATATCATGTTTCATTCCAAAGGAGCTAAATCCACGAGAAAAAAAATCTAAAAATTTAGTAAAAATCAGGAAACACTGGTAGATTTTTTTTTATCACATATTATTGGTCCAGGTTGACACCTTTAAAATATATAACAACATTAAGGTCCATTGCTAAAGGGAAAGTGGAGAAATAAAAAAGGCGATTTACTCAGAAGTACCCAAAGTGGATTTAGCTCCTTTTGGAATGAAACTCTTCATATCAACATATCAATGATATCAATGATGTTTACATGAACAACATACAATTTTACATACATTTTTATTACGAAATATGAAATTACCGGCATATGGGGATTGTATTGGGAATAGTGCATCAAACACAATTCCAAATTTAGAACTCCTTCCTTTCTATTTGTGTGCCAGAGTTGGTAAAAGAAAAATTACATCCTGACAAAAACTCAATAGTTTAGGATAATGCGCTAATTTGTGCATGTTTTAATGTCCCGTTATTTGATCCATGATTTAGAGTCTTCAATAACATTGAGTTTGCTAATGCGTGTTTTTGCGTGTTTTTTGTATTTTTGAAGGAAATAAAAAGAATGAAATTACACAAGTTTGTGTTCGCTTGTTCTACTCTTTACACATTCAACAATGGATGAGAAATCATTGAAAGGGACAGCGAACAGTTGCTGTGATACCATTTTCTGATGGAGGAATTCTAAATCCTGAAATTCATGCGCTTTTTTATCTCACCACCTGGTCAGCAGTTGCAGATTACCGCATAACTTTTCGGCGGCTTGGAGCAAGGGGTCAAAGGAGAGCGGCTTGATTCCAATCCTTCTCTATCAAGTCCCTGCTAAAACACTGCAAAATAGAAATGTAGGCATAAAGAGAGATAAAATATAGGCCTACATAATTTATAGAGAAATATATAGAAATATAATAGAAATGTAGACAAATAATGAAAATAATATTATGTGCTTGAGAAAACACTTAAGAACAACAAATTAATTTTATGAGTGTTAAATTATTTAGGCCTATTACTTAAAAGTCAATGGATTTCATTTGTGTTTTTAAATTAATTTTAGGCCGTGGATATAATGCGGGTGGGTTGGGAGAAGAGACAACGAGACAAGGAGATTCATTACAATGAGTGAAAGAGAGGGAGGGAGAAGAGGAGAGAGAGAGAGAAATAAAGAAAGGGAGGTGGGGTGAGAGAAGGAGAGAGAGAGAGAGAGAGGGGGGAGGAGGGAGGGGGGTGGTCTACAGTCCTGCATTTGATGTTTCTGTGTTTCATAATAATTATGTGAAATACTAATTAGATCTTGGGCAAAGAGAATGATTGAAATTCTTCTTCCGAGAGAAAAAAAATCTGCACCCCTAGCATGCATCCTAGAAATGCACTTGAAACGATCTTTTGTGAACAAAGCAGCTTCTGCATAAGCTGTCATTTGCGCATCTTGTGATCTGCGACATTATAATTTATACCACGATTATTATTGTCTGTCTTTACTCAATCTGCGAAGGAAACAACTCCGCAGTTCTGGAGGCCTGGAGGAAACCAAAACAAGAAGAAGAACTTTAACCGATTTCAATTAAACTCGCAAGTTTCTTCTTTTCTATCGAGCTCCTTCGAACTTTTGTCTATGCTTTACTTTCACTTTCCTGCTTTCATTAAAACCAAGACACAGTGGGTTCCCCTTAAAGGTACTATGTCCCATTTGCAGGCCAAAAAATGAAAAAGTTAAATTCCACTGACTGCATTTGAAAGATAATACTTATTTAGAACTTCCCTAAAAAAGTGGGGCTTGAAAATGTCTTCAAGTGGGAAAATAATGACTATTAGTTGTCAAATCGACTTTAGGGCTATAGAGCCCAAAAGTAATAGTCTTGATTTTCAGACAATTGTATCGAATGGTCATACGTTTTATGCTGCGCAAAGATTCAATCAGTTTAATCTTGGCCATCACAAGAAGTGGGTTATTGATGTAGACAAATGCTCATGTACCCTTTACAACTCTTTTCATGTATGTTATTACCAAAGAAGAAAAAAAGCCAGTCAGTCACTCAATAGTGTCTGACAGTGAAGTCTAGCAAGTAAACGGGTTTCCTTGCATAATTTGAATATAAGGACACTGCTAACGTTTAGATTTCACAGATAGGAAATACATGACATATTCATAATTCCTGCAAAGTTCTACAGAATTTGAGGTTGGCTGCAAAGGGACATATACCTTTAAAGTCGGTTCTGTTCAGAGTTTCACATCATTATACATTAACCATGTTTTCTTTGATCGTTAATCTACATGTGGTATTGGGATGGAAATGATCATCCTTGATCGTACTTTAGATACAGGAAACACCTTTATTATCAAAAGGAAGATTTGGAGTTAACACTCGAGGGAGGGTCGGACGGAATTGCCCAATAGGGGCATATTTCACCACAACCCCCATTTTGCCTTCAATAATATGAGTTTCGATTCTCCTGACATGAGTTGTTTATTTATTTCACGAACCTACCGGTAGACCACTTTTCGTTCTTGGGCCCAATTCTCTCCAACACAAGAAATAATGGGAACGTAGTAACTTTTATTCAAGAAATGTCAATATAATATACTGTACATGAACATTAAAGCCCCTTTTTTATGAAGCTTGTTACCAATAACAAGTCGTACAATTTTATAGCTGTTGCTGTTGCTACTGCGTTCATTGTATTTGATTATCTTTGCGCAAATTTGTTATAGCGGAAAATGTGACAATCGGGATGATAAGATACATGTAACAGGACAACAAAGCGTTTCACATGTCATCCGATTGTCATTACTCAACGACTGAAGTAGACATCCGCTATCAGCGGAGAAAGTCACAGAGATAAACGAGACCCTTTCACACTTCAAAAACTTCCCAGGAGAATGCATAGTTTACTGGAGGCTTCGTTTACGCTCACACTTAACGTAATTCTTTGTTGTTTATGCAATTTGGGTCTTAGTACTCTTTGAATATTATTGTAGACCTATATGAATTCTGGCAGAAATTATCTTCACACTCAAGTGTCGCAATGCTGGTTGTGCACGAAGGTGACATCTGTTGAAGTACAACTGCGTCAGTGATCAGCGTTGTCTTTGACGCACCTTGTCACTGAAAATTATCTCGTAGAAATGGTGAATGTGAAATGAACAGTGCAAAACAGCATTGAATTAATGGTGCATTTTTTGGCACATCAGTTACTGATACGACGTATTTCTGTGTAACGGGCGCAAGAGTGCTAATCCAGCTGAGAGCGTTTTAATTTCGATAGTGTGAACGGGGCCTATATCGTGCTGATGAGAGGATAGAATACAAACCAGATATCAAATATAAGCAAATCTGACTTCGATTATCCATACCGATCATTATTATTGTTAAGAGTTTAGACAGGTAAGCTAATGTTTTCGGCGCGACAGTCTTTCGAGCGACGCGACTGATGGTGTCCTTCGAACTAGCTGTCTGACGGGACACAGGTTTCTGCGATGAAGTATAATTATGATGTAGATTATAAACGGTTTGCTGGTACCTGGTGGTGATCCATTCTGATGTCTTTAGGTCGTGCATCAGGCAGTGAAGAAAGGCACAAACTTTAGGTTATCGTCTTCCAGTGCTATAGTTACGGTCACCTGTTTTAACATGGCTTCGGACACCGAGGACATGTCTTCTTCGAATTTGGACTATGACGAGGCTGCGGACGTGGTCAAGTTGGCCAATCAGCTCTTGACGACATTCCGGGTGGCCTTCTCTCTGGTCACCATCATCATGGTCGTCGGCCTGGTCGCCAACGGGTTCGTTCTCTTTGTCATCCTGCGGAGCAAGAAGCTACGAAACACCGTCTACAACGTGTACATCGTCAGTCTCTGTGTCTCAAGTTTCCTTTTCCTTCTAGTTTGGGGATTGACTGACGTCATCACCTTCGGGATATATCTTCACAAGGAAATCTTTCACGTTGAGACGGACTCGAGGATAAGGAAACTGCTGGCCGGCTGTGAAGCGGTAGGTCAACCTGACATTTTATTTCAATTATTGAGTGACTCTATAAAGCAATAACTACATTGTAATTTTTGTTATAAAACTTATCAGAATTATTGTCCTTCGACCATTTTGCCAAATAGGCACATTATAACTTAAAAGGAATCAAACTAGCTTCAACTTACGGAAATTTATAGGCCTATCATGTTTCGAAATAGACATGGCTTGAACGTCTTTGACATCCTGTGGTATGTGCCAGTATTAATCCAACATCATTAACGGTGTTTACGCTCAAGAAAATGATTAGCAAAATAATATGGTAGCCTTGATACATGAAATCATACGGATCATAAGGTAATGAGCATATTACCCCCTGGTCTACACTGTTATCATCTTCTTTCCTCTGTTGGTAATTATTTAATTTTACACCCTCGACTCATGCAGGTGAAGTAAAAGGATACGTGGTAGGAAATGGCAGCGGCGGATCCAGGGGGGGGGGGCCTTGAGAAAAAATCACGTGATTTTTACCTTTGGGGGGTTGCCCCCCCCCCCCCTGGCGCTCAAGGGGGGGGGGGTACAAATTTTTTAAATTTCCGAGGACCCCCCCCCCCCCCCAAAAAAAAAAATGTGCTCACTACCCCCCCCCCCCCCCCGCCCCCCAATGAGCGAATTTTCGGCCGGCGCGATTTTCAAATTTTCGGGAGCAAAAAAAAAAAAAGTTGGGCCCCCTCCCCTAGGAAATCCTGGATCCGCGTACCCAGAATGCTTCCAGTAGCCTACCCCCTACATAATTTATGCTCGAAGAGCTAATCTTCAAACAGGGTAATAATACTGTATAGCCCCCCTCCCCCCATGGCCGTGGGAAGCGGGGTGCGGGAATTTTTCCAGGGGGGGGGGGGCACAGCACCCCCTGCACATTTTTGTGGTATGATATATTCATGTATATCATTATATGATTCGTTTACAAAATTGTCACACAGCCGTCAGCCACAAATGAAGATTAGAAAGACAAAAATTATAACGTTTCTTTCACAAAATCCTATAAAATGTATCACTCGAAGAGATTTTTAATTTTTTTTAATTTTTAATTTTTAAATAATTAAAAAAAAGGTGCTAATTGGTACCCCAAAAGACAGAAAATATGTCCTCTTACCCCCCCCCCCCCCCCCCCCCTCGCGGCTGGCTGAGTCGTTGCGAAATTTTTGGGACCAAAAATATTTTAAAAATATATCCTACAACCCCCCACCCCCTTCCCCTTATTCAGCGGCTGGCTGAATCGTTGCGAATTTTTTGGGACCAAAAGATTTAAACAAAATATGTCCTCTTACCCCCCCCCCCCCCCCCGCTTATTCAGCGACTGGCTGAGTCGTTGCGAAAATAATTTCGCAGTATTTATATCTCAGCGGCCCTGGTGAAAAAATCGTTCCCAGGGCCCTGCCCCCTCCCCCCATTAAGGATGTAGATATCACAACAAATTATATTATGTCTCTCTTTCTCTTATGGCAGACCACTATGGTGGTTAACTGTTTCATGATAACGGCCTTAGCCGTGGATAGGTACATCATCATAGCACGTCCTGCATCGCTACATAATAGAAGAACTGTCAAGAACGCCCTCGTCGCCTGTGGCATTGTTTGGGCAGGTGAGATCATAATAATATTTTGGGCGATGTTTAAAGACAGGGCTCTAAAGATTCCTTATTTGCCGACAGGGGGCGGGTATAGCATCCCCTTAGTCCCTCCAACGAGGTCGTAATTATTGGCTTATGGTTGGAGCTATACGAATGTGCATGTCGTAATGAACCTGGAGAAAGATTCAAAATCTATTAACATATTTTCTTTTGATTGTATTTTCGCAGCTCTCGACAGATAAACTTTTTATAAGGATTTCTTATTGAAGCAACCACTCTGGCTGAAAGTGCAGTGTTAACCTTAATCCAATTGAAAAAGAATTTATGTTATAAAGACAGATGAATAAATAAACTTAACTTCAAATTTAACTTCAAATTCAATTTCAAATTCAATCCAAATTCAAATTCAATTCAAATGAAGTGTATATTAAAATTATAACAATTATATTTAAAGCACTATTACTTCTATAATGACAGCTATTCTCTCCCATTCCTTTTTTTCTGTGAAAAAAAACCCAGCTGGATTTCTCACTGCGTGTACAGCCATTCCTGTCGACTTATTCACCAGTCTGAAGACGGTCTATGCAATCCACATCTTCTTCTTCATCTTCACCTTCGTCATCCCCGTCGTCATCATCGCCGTTTGTTTCGGTTTGACGGTCAGGGCTGCGGCAACGAAGCGTAACGCTACGACGCTGTCTCCGACTGGTCGCCGGAGCCTTGCGCGTAAAACCCGCTTCCTAGCATTGATCGGGGGAGTTTCGCTTTCATTCTTCATCTGTTGGGGATACTGGCATAGCTACTACTTGGCAATATGGCCATATTTTTTCAATGGTCAATTCTACCGGGCGAATGTCGTCGTTCATATCGTCGTTAACATGCTTACCGACATCCTAGTTCTCTTCAACGCGGCGCTCAACCCTTTTCTCTACGCCCTGAACCGAGCCTACATGAAGCGCCATCTCGTCAGCCTTTTCCCTTGCGGACGCAAAGGTACACATGCAGCAGATATGGGTAACGGGCGACCGGATGGAATGGAATCAACAGAAAGTGACTCAGTAACGCCGAGTGGTGACGGTGTCACTTTCAATGTTGCGGATGAAACGGTAGCGGAAAAAGTGCCAAACTCTCCAGCTAGCAATTAAAAAATAAGCCTAGTTTCTTTATACTCATCGATTAACAGCATTCGGAAAACTAAACAACGTCTTATTAGCAAATAGTGTGATTAACACTAATCTTTATATGCCACAGAAACAATTTCCATGTGTCATATAATTATGTTATCTATCAAAGTATCATGGAATAGGTATACTTGCAAAACAACATGACTATACAAAGATATATGTACTTTAAGAGGTTAACATTGAGCTTATCAAGACCAGAAGTTATCATTTTTTAGTAAGCCACTAATTGGTTGCACAAAGCATTACTCCGTCAATTTATACCTTTTGTTTTGTGCCAATCTGCAGGTATGACGAACGAGCGACAGCGCCGATTGGCACTGATGGCAAATGAAAGCTTAAAGAGAATTGAAAATTGTCATTGAGTTAACACGAACATTTATTATGTTATAGTACAGGATTATTGTTGTACGCTATAAAGGATTATTAAAGTGATATAGTAGAGATGATTATGGGGTGTTAAAAATTTTCATCACACCGTAAAACACGGTGACTAAATTTGACTAAATTATAGTCACGGTTAGATTTAAGTGGACATTAAATGAAATATGATTTTCACGAGACCTCAAAGATTATAATGTTAATGTTTAATCACTTATCCGACTTTGTAAATATTGGGCTGTAATCATGGTAGAAATATAGGTTAAGTTTCCAGAACTTGAGCGTTAGGCCTATCCGGTTTATATGACAATAGACCCAGAGTTCTTCAAACTTAGTGATTACTCCAATATTTCATGCACCTGAATGGATAACATCCTCGAAAGAAGGTGAACCAACAGAAAAAAGACAGGCATAACAACACCAATATAAAGCTTTTATTCATTATACCTCAGCCCCCCCCCCCCCCCCACTCAGTGTTATTTAGTGTACGAGTATCCATGTTCCCGCCTTTTGAAAACACCCCCCTATGTTCGGTGTGTAAAGTCAATACAGGCCGGATTTTTGTGTACTACGACTTTGGTGCGTGAAAGTACCCCTTACCGGACATCTTGGGAACACGCATGCGGTCCCTCCGACCCCGGAGTGGGGGCCGGGCCTCAGCCACACCACCAAACCGACTACAAACCGATCGGTTATTGGCCTCGCAGGGTCGGCTTGTAGTCGGTCCGGTGTAGGTCTCGTTGGTGTGTATGAGGTATACTGTAGACGCTATGTATGCACCTTGCACCCCCGTACAAACTAGGGGTTCGGGGTAAATGGGTGCTCCTACCACCCCCCCCCCCCCCCCGTTGAGCTAAAAAATAAAGAGTGCTCACTACCCCCTCCCCCCCCCCCCCCCGCTTATTCGCTGGCTAATTCGCTGCTAAATATTTTCTCACGTAAAAAGTTGGGAACCCTAAGACCCCCCCCTTAAAATAAGCTTGTACGGGCTTGCCTTGAATCTCTTTACACCAAATCTGTGCGGGGACCCAATATGACTCTGAAATAAAACAGAAATGATGGTCTAGCAGAAAAGTCGAATTCTCGACAGTATGAAAAAGCTTTGTAAGCATTGCAATATTGTAAAAGTTCGGTTTGCTCTAGAACTTTTAAATTTTTTTGAAACTTATCTCATGTTTTCGAACAGCATCATTTCTATTTGTTTGCCATCTTCCATCAATTTGATGCATTTGTATATGATTTTTTTATTTGTAACTGAATGCCGATATAATCAATGAGGACTTGGATTTAAACAATGTGTCTACCTTGTAAGTGATATATACTTAGAAACTGATTGATTTTTGTTATACACTTTTGAAGAATTTCATTAAAAGATGTTGATGAAGCTTAATAGGCCTAACTCAAGAAATAAGTGCAACTACAGTTTTGTTTTGTTGTAAGAAACATTATTATAGTTAATTTTTTTCTTTAAATGTCTTATTTTTCATTTTATGATTATTATTTTTTTGTTTATCTATTTATCTCTCTCTCTCTCTCTCTTTCTCTCTCTCTCTCTCTCTCTCTGTCTGTCTATCTGTATATATATATATATATATATAATTATTTTGTTTTGTTGTTGGGGGCGGGGGTTATTGCAACATGGTGATTTTGGTAATGATGCCCCGTGCTCCCTTAGACACCCCTCTTTGTAGCAAATGAATATCAGACATCATCAGACAATAAACACAATGTTTAAGACGGAAACATGTTACCATGTGTTATATAATTTTCGTTTTCAGATGGGGGGGGGGGGGGGCATAGACCAACCCCGTTCAATATACCTGTCCTATTACTCTAGAAATCTTGGACTGGCGGGATCAGGCGCGTACGCAGGATTTTTTCAAGGGGGGGGGTTTTAAACATTCATAATCGGCCGAAAATTTCGCAACGACTCAGCCGACCGCTGAATAAGCGGGGGGGGGGGGGGGGGGGGGGGGGGGGGGGGGGGGGGGGGGGGGGGGGGGGGGGGGGGGGGGGGGG